CGAGGTGCGCTCGATGGTGGACGTGCTGGCGGACCACGCGGGCGAGCTCGTGCGCACCGACAGCCCCCAACTTCCCTCTGCTCGGTGCTGCCATCGCACTGGCGCTGCAACAAAGACGCTGCCGGTCGCCTTTTAAGGTGAGCTCGGGGGCCCGGGGAGGGGAGGACACGGTCCCCTGGGGCGCCGGGCGTCCCGCGCTGCCGGAGCCAGGGCCGGGGAACGGAGGGGAGGGGACGTGCCCGCGACCCCGAAGCCAGAGCCAGGCACCTGGGCCACCAGCCCGGTCGGTCTCAGGGCGCGCTCCACCCGGAGACGCAGGCGTTTCCTTTGGGGTGCACCCCGCACTGGTGACTTGTAGGGAGGCATGCCCCCGCCACCTTCGGGGAGACCCGGGGAGAAACGTTGATATGGAAGCGGGTCGATGGGGCTCCCCTCCAACCCGGATCCTTCGGACACAGCCCTGCGGGGAGGGGAGAAGCGGAGCCCGGGGCCCCGGGCGAGGACACAGAGGTGGGGTGCGGAGGGTGGATAGGCCTGCCCTGCCCTGCCGGCACCCCTCCTCCTGCGCAGCTTCAGCAACACTTCCTGCTCACACCCTCAACCTCCCGCTTCAGAAATCTTAAACCGCGCGGCTCTGGGCCGGGACCAGAGACACTGTCCCTAACCGGTTGCTGCGGGGATCCCAAATGTTAGGCAGAGAGTGGGGGTGCTCCCGCCCCTGGCAGCCCCCAGTCATGCAGAGGAGCTTCTCTTTGCCGGGGAGTAGGCGACTGTTTCATTTTCATTTTTTTTAAGGGGGCAGCGAGATGAAACGAAAACGACTTGGTTTTCCCCTAAACCTCTCGCAGCTGCCGTGAGAACGGGCGGGCAGGGCCGGCCGGCGGCTGGGGGTGGCGGTGCCCGAGGTGGCTGCCGGCGGCGGCTTCTGGCAGCGGAGGCCGGCCTTGCTCCCATTAAGACGACTCCAAATTGGAAGGAAAAAAAAAAAAAAAGGATGAGTGGCTCTTTGAGGTCTCCCGGGTGACATCTTAAAACACCCGTGGGGAGAATCTCCTGGGGACCGGCAGGCAGCCCCTGTGACTTTAATCCTCAGATCGGAGGTTTTACTGTCACTTGGAGCTTAAAAGGAATCTTTGAAATTAAAAGAAGACAGGATGTTGACAGGAAATCTGGCCTTTTTAATCAGACCCCAAACATTTTCTCCTTGAAATTTTTACCATCTGGATCCCTCGTCCCTGCACGCGGTGGCCACGTTCAAATGCATGGCTGTGACTGTGTCTGCAGCCTGATTCCTTTTCAAAAGGCATCTGCCTCTCTGAGCTCCGAGGGGTGAGGCCTGGGGGAGACGATTATTAGGGGGCACCTCCACCCCCACCCCGCAATTCCCAGCAGGTGCATCCTCCTGCTATCAAAGGCCCCTCTGGCGCTTTAAAGGGGTTTTCTGGACAGACCCTCTCAAAACGACAGCTTGTTTTGCATTTTCCCTGCATAACGAATTCAGGCTACGCAGAGGCCGACACACTGGGCTGAGGCCACATGTGGGGGCCAAACATCATACCCCAAACGGCTCTTGCATTATTTGAGTCCCCTCATCATTGTTGTTGATACTGTTTTTTTAACGTTAGAGACTGGGTTGCTAGAGGCAGTGTTGATTCCTCTTTTGCTCACAAGCAAAGGGAAGAAGGAAGCTGCTTCCTACGTCGCAGTGACTGAGCTGGTGCCCAGCTCTCCCTTAGGTTTAATGGATGGAAGGAATGCTTTCCCGGGGCATGGCTTCACCAGTTTACCTAGGATTTTGGTTCAGAAGATGGAGATCTTTTTGTTTTGGGGGGAGGAGGAGGGAGAGGTCTCTATTGTTCGTAAGCCGCCTCTCCACTCCGCATTTGAGAAATCCGCAGTGCGCCTGGCACCTAGGGGAGCTGCCTGCCCCAGCCCCTCCCCCCCTTTCCCTGGCCTCCCGCTACCTTTCTAAGCTGTCCCCCTGCCCCCTGCCCTCAGGTGGTGGCACTGGGGGATGTGCCAGATGGCACGGTGGTGACGGTGATGGCGGGCAACGATGAGAACTACTCTGCTGAACTGCGCAATGCCTCTGCCGTCATGAAGAACCAGGTGGCCAGGTTCAACGACCTTCGCTTCGTGGGCCGCAGTGGGCGAGGTGAGTGGGGGGGAGACTGCGCCAGCCCAGCACTGGCTGTAGCAAAGGTTGGGGGGAAGGAGGCTGAGAATGAGGGGTCCCCGTGGGAGCCCCAGAAACAGGTCCATGCCCAGTTCGGTCTAAAACAGCAGTTTGCAACCCCTTAGGGTGTTTCAGACCCCCCTGAAGATGTGAGGGGAAAAGCTGTCATTTCCCCCCCAGTCTCTGGGGCTTCCTAACTCCTGGAGCCCGCCATGCCTTCCCTTTCCTGATTGAGTGCACTGATCTCACAAAAGCTGCTGGGGGAGGAGGCACAGGCTCAAAAAAGGGCCTTCTCAGTCTTTCGGCAGGCGGTTTAGAGGACAGATCCTTGGTCTTCGGGGACCCGGCACCCCAGCCACTCTCCCCACTGGGGCAGAATCTCCCCCACACTTTGGGGCTGCCTCTCCGCAGCTGTGGTCTCCCAAAGCCACAATTTCCCCAGCCCTTTGAGCCTTAACGTGGTTTAGAAAAGAAACGAATGCAGTACAGGATGCTGAATACTGGAAAGCGCAGCTCAAAGGCTGCCATCTCCCGCCCCAGAGTCCAGGCCGAGGTGCCAGCCTACCTGCCTGACCTGCCCCCGGGGCAGTATGAAGGAAGGCAGGATCAGGCACCGCTGTTGAGTAGGAGGACCTGAAACCCATCACCACTTCTGGATGCAGAAGTCCTAGAAACCCTGCCGGGGGGAGGGGAAGGGGGAGGAATGGAGACTTGAGGGCTCCCTGGCCCTTTAAGACCAGCCTGCTGAAAATTGGGGAGTGCCCTTCCCTGAGCACCTGGCCTGCCCCTCCAGCTGTGTTAAGAAAGTAAGCTAGGTTCCCTCTGGCCCCAGCCTCCGCAGAGGCCGAGGCAGAATTGTACTTTTCATCACCAATAAGCCAGACCTTTTCAAGGTTTAGGTCCCTCTGAGCCGCCAGCCCTGCTAGGAAGTGGGCATCTGGGCACCATTTTTTCCTCTTCAGCCGTTCAGTGTATACATACAAATGTCAAACATATTTTGACTTTTCAGCATTAATTAAAACCAGGGCATTATTTGCATGTAATAACTGTTTACTTGTTACTTTTTATGAAACTGAAATAGTTTACATTCTTTCAAACATTTCCTGTTCCTGTTGGCTCCCTTCCCCATGCACAGATTTCTTTCAAACGTTGCCCTTAACTGGTTGCAGGTTGATGGATGGAAAATGTTTGCTTTTATGAATTAAGCTTTCATTGCTGCTCCTAATTAGTCTCCAAGCCCCTTTTGTCATCCCCAATATCTCAAGCCCTTTGCAACTTAATCCCAGCCCCCGCCCAGAGTGGAGAGTCGCTAGCTGCCACTGCCTGGCGGTGGCTTGCTCGGATGCAGCTGGGCGGTGGGGTGGGGCGGTGGCCCCGTCTGTCAGCCCAGGTGGCGGTGGCAGAGAGGGAGGCCCGCTATAGCTGCATCCCCGAGGGGGCAGGCAGAAGGGAAGCTTAGAACCTGGGGCCCAGCACGGCATCAGGAACATGGCATCGCACCCCCTCTTCTAGGAGGTGCAATATAGAAAGAGAAGAGATGATGATTCTCTGAGTTACTTGAGACCTTGCCTGGCCATTCTGCTGCTAAAAATGATTTCCTCGCCCTAGCTGGTTTGGCTCAGTGGATAGAGCATCCGCCTGTGGACTGAAGGGTCCCGGGTTCGATTCCGGCCAGGGGCACATGCCCAGGTTGCAGGCTCAATCCCCAATGTGGGGCGTGCAGGAGGCAGCCGATCAATGGTTCTCTCTCATCACTGATGTTTCTATCTCTCTCTCCCTCTCCCTTCCTCTCTGAAATCAATTAAAAAAATATATTTTTTAAAAAAGAAAATGATTTCCTTGTGGCATTTATGCCCACAGACCTGTGCCCACCCACAGGGCCTGCTGGGCAGCCCACTCTTAGAGCAGGCACAGCGGAGGCTGGATTGTGGCTCCGGAAAATAGATGTAGGAGGCTGCACTCCTCTCCCCAGTCTCAGCGATCTTGGGAAGCAGGAAGAGGCCTCAGTTGGGGTTCTGATGCCTGTGGAAGTCGACAGGACTTCTAGGCCTGGGAGGCTCATGGTATTCAACAGCCTGGGCTCTAACACATCGGACCTGGGGTTCAGCCCCAGCTCCACCAGTGACTTGCTGGATGACATTGAGCAAATGGCTTAATCTCTCTGTGCCTCAGTTTCCGCATCTGTAAAATGGGGATCATACTGGTACCTACCTCATGGGATTTTGTCAGGGCTAAGGAACTTGGTACAAGTGTCTCCGTTGGCAACTGTTGCGAGCTGGATACATGATAGAGATTTTGTTACTTCAGATGCCTGGGACTACAAGAGAGCTTTGAAGTCCCTTTGAGTGGTGACAGTCACTGATTCTCTGATTCGGTGCGGTTTGGGCGGGGGTGGGGGAAACCCAGAAGGTGTGAATTGTTGAGTGGGAGAAGTGGAGGCGGGCGGCTGAGGAAGGAGGGCGCCGGGCTCCTGTGGCGAGCAGCGAGCAGCCTCTCCCGTCGGCTCTGCCCATCCTGCCCAGTGGGAAATTCCCTCGGAGAGAACAAGTCAGTGATTGACACGGACGGTTTGGGCCATTTCAGGAGTGGGGACAGGTTTGGGGACCCAGAGCCTTTCCCTGGCTCTCCGGCCTCTGCCAGGGCCAAGGAGCCAGATGGAAACTTCTGCTTGTTTCCTTGCCTTTCAATTCCTTGATTCCGTCTTAATTCCGGGAAGATAGATACCTTTCCAGGAAAGACATGCACATACCAGTAGCACAGAGCTCTCGTGATTAGACTGCAGGTGTGAAGCAGGAACAGGAAGGGAAGGAAACCAAGTCATCGGTGTCCCTTGCAGAGATTAAGACCCAGGCCCACACCCTCCCAGGCGCAGCGCCCCCTTCGATAATGTGTAACGCCCTTTACCATCTCACGGTGAAATGTAGATAGTGTAGCCCACCTACCTACGCAGTTTCAAAGCCGATATAATTCCATAGCCCTAATAAAAAATGGGGAAAGTGATTTATAATAAAATATCTATTTGAATATGTAAATGTTGGGCGAGACCACAGCGTCTGATGGATGGGCGCTTCCGCCCCTGGTAGGTGGCCTGTGACAGGCGGCGGCGAGGTGTACATGACTCAAAGCCTGAACCCCCTCTGCCGTCAATGACATGATTTTCTGAACTTGTGAACAATTCTTGGTAAAGTTCTGAACACATTTTTTTTTTTAAGACTGTCTTTCCTCCTGGGAAATTCAATAGACGTTAAAAGTGTACAAAAAAATTTACCTTGTTTTATGCAAAATTTAGTTCAGTTCATGGCTCAGATCATCTTTATCAGCAAGTTTTTCATGCACAGAAAGTATGACTATTTCACAGCCCTGTGCACCCCCCCCCCCCAAAGCAATCCCACCTCTTGAGAATCACACACCACAATCCCCAAAAAGCCCTCTAGGAGGCGACCATGGGCCTAGGTCAGTGGTCGGCAAACTGTGGCTCAGCAAACCGCGGCTCGCGAGCCACATGTGGCTCTTTGGTCCCTTCAGTGTGGCTCTCCCACAAAATACCGGCTCCTGCGCATGGGCCATGAAGTTTCAATCGCACTGTATGTGGGAGCCTGCACGTGGGAGCCTGCACGTGGTATTTTGTGGAAGAGCCACACTGAAGGGGCCAAAGAGCCGCATGTGGCTCACGCAGTTTGCCGAACACAGGCCTAGGTGAAAGTGAAAAGAGCTTTAGTTCCCAAACTGTCGTTAACTGGTTAAAAAGATCCTGCCGCAGTGTGGAGAGAGATTTGGGGTGAAAGGTGTGAGCTGCAGCCATAGGGGGACCACTGGTGGGGAGGAGATAGATGGCTTCTTGGCCAATGTTGAGAAACCCAGAGGTTCCCGAGACAGGTCCCCTCCCGCTACCCATGAGCCTTATGGTAGGGACACCTCCCACAGGAACCCTGGCTGAGAGGGACAGGGACTTGCCCAAGGTCACACTGCCAGACCCAGCCGTGTGTGCTGATTGGTTCAGGGCCCCGGGTGCTTCTGGAATGTCTGGGGCCACTCCGAGCCCCAAGGCACAGCTATTTCCAGACGAGGACTGCTCCCCCTCCAATCGCCAGCCCTTGGAGTGCCTCGATTTACAATTCCTAGACTCCTGGCTGGTTGCAAGTTTGCCCGGGGTTCCTGCACAACGTTGTCCACCTCCTTGGTTTTCTCAGCTTCCTCCTCCAAGAGGAGAAGAGAGATAATGGATGGGTTTGCTGCTAGGCACAGAGAGGGGTGAGGGCCACTCAGGGAGACAGCTTTTCCTCACCCCTGGTTCAAGGGGTCCCTGTCTCTTGTTACCTGCTACCTGCTCCGCCCTCCCACTCCTGCTCCCAGGTCCCAGCCTCTCCCTTTCTCCCGGCCCCCTCCCGCCTCTCTGGGAGTGCCTGGGAGGGTTAGGGCCAGGCCTGGAAACTGAGAGGAAGCTGTCCAGGAGGGCTGGTGACCTCGGGTGTCCTGTGGTTTGCTGCCTGATGGGGAGAGGGGCTTCTCACAGCAGGCCCTTAGTGTCTGTGTAGAGGGGCTGGCTCCATCATATTCTAACCTTCCTGGGCTCTGCCTGGAGACTGTGTGACCTGGTCTCCTCCTTGCCTTTCTGCCTCAGTTTTGTCATCTATAAAATGGGAGCAGTAATCTCTGCCCTTCATTCCTTTAACAAACATTTATTGAGCACCTACTACATGCCAGATGCTGTCCTAGGGGCTTGGGAAACAGCCATGAAAAGCACAAAAATTCTGGTCTCCAGGGAGCTTACAGTCTAACACTGGGAGACGAGATCACTAAGTAGATGAATTATGAGAAGTAATAAGCATTTGGGGGAAATTCAGGGAGCAAGGGAAGGTTTATGACGCTTCTGGTTGAGCTTCTTCATCTTTTTTCACCCTGTGGACCCCTTTGACAGTCTCGGGATAATGTTTTTCAAGGAACAAAATAAAATATAAAAGAAGACACTGGGAACCAATTATGTTAAAGCATAGTTAGCGAGCTGCCTTTTAAAATTGTGATAAATGTGCCCACTTTGTTAGCATATTAAGTAATAAGATCTAGCAATGACGACCATGATTTTGAAGTGGTGACGAGCGTAGGAGCTATTTAGAGGAATCTGCAGCGTCTGTAACGTGATCTGTAAATACCTGTGACGTCTGTGTGACAAGGTCGCAGGGACTTCTGTGATGCTTTGTGGCTTGTTGCCTATGTTCAGCCTCGAGAGAGATGCTAAATTTCATTTCGAGGTTAGGGACAATACAATGGCCTGTCTTTTCCTTTCCTATCCCGGTTCTCGGCCACACTCAGTTCTAGCGGAGGCTGCACAAGTCAAGTTAAAGACTCCTACTTTGGAGAAAATGGCCAGGGCAGGCCTCACTGGGCATGTGACTTTTCAGTGGAGACCTGAGGGAGGTGAGGTGATAAAAGGGGGGTTCTCAGGGGCTTGGGGCCCGCCCGCCTGGCAGCCCTCTGGCCGCTGTCACCTAAACTCCTCATCACTTGGTGCCCTGTGGACCGAGGACGTGATGGACAGAGAGGCCCAGGGGCCCCCGGAGAGCGCCTGACTGGTTGGGGGCAGGGGTGCCCAGGAGGGAAATGACTTCAGAGTGAGGGCGAGCAGTAGGAGGGTCCCCGGAAAGAGTGGGCAGGGAGCCTGAGCCCACCTGCCGCCATTTCCCCTGCCCTTCTGCACGTCCTGTTTTCAGGAATCACGGAAAGTGCCCCTGTGGTCTGGGAGTGAGGGGCCGTGTGTGTCCCTCTGACCTGGGACTCCAGGGGCAGGGACCCTGGGGCATTTGCATCCCTGCTTTTCGCCGGCTGGCTCAGGAACATTCTCCCAGAGGGGCCCGAGCTTTCCAGGTCCAGTCTCTTATACTTGAGCCCCATCCTCCCAGCCCTGATGTCTCAGAGCCCGTGGGCCCCTGGGTGTGGCCCCAGCGGCCTGGCAGGTGACCTTGGTCTGGAGTCTCCTGTATCTGGGCCTAGAAGCACTCAGAAGCACTGAGAATGGACAATGCAAAGAGGACTGTAGGCTGTCGGTCTCTCCGAGTTTTCATCCCCCACCTGTGAGGTGGGCTATCAAACCCACCCGCCCGCCGGCCTTGGAGAGCCGTTGGGGGCACAGGGACAGCAGAGGGGTCCGTTCGGGCAGCCCTGGGGGACACGGGTGCCCCGGGCCAATGACCCTGCCCCCCGGGGAGTCTCCAAGCCTGTAACCGGGATCCAGAGATGGGGGTGCTCAGACAGAGGCGAAGCTCCCCCACATCCTCCCAATCTCACGTGTGTGGAGGTTTTGATGGTAACGGAGAGCAGGCAGGCAGGGGGTGCTCGCATTCCAAGGAGGTGCAGGGAAAACTGGGGTTGCCCTTTGAGGAAAAATCCTTCCCTTATACCTTATGGAGCAGTCTTCCCTCGAAGAATCAAAGAATTAGATGTAGGAAGTAAAGAGAACACAGTTCATCAGAGGCAGACCTTTATCGGCCCCGTTACCCAGGGCAACCTGCCTCAACATAAAAAACATAGGAGCAATCACAAACCAGAGAAAGAAATGAAAACGCAAACCAGCTCAGAACCAGAGAGGGAAACGGAAAGGCCAGCGAACGGGGCAGCTGATCGCCACAAATAGGACAGGGAGGTGTTAACGAGCTTATTACGGAGGGATGGCTTTTTGTTTGTGATATCCTCACCCGAGGATATTTTTCCATTGATTTTTAGAGAGAGTGGAAGAGAGAGGGAAAGACAAAGAGAAATATCTGTGTGAGAGAAACTCATCAAGTGGTTGCCTCCTGCACGAGCCCTAACCAGGTCTGGGGCCTGCAACCGAGGTACGTGCCCTTGACCAGAATCGAACCCGGGACCCTTCAGTCTCCAAGCCAACAATCTATCCACTGATCCAAACCGGCTAGGCTACAGAATGATGTTTTAAAGGCACCAAAACTTTAATACGAAATTATAAAAGAACACGAAGCCATCATTTGTGTTGGGTTAGGATGGATAATAAACATATAAAAAGCTTCATTCTCACTAGCATTAGAAAAAAGACTAGTTCAGTCAGGAGCATTTAAAAGATCTTCCACCTCAGTAGACGGCGCCGATGGCGCCAGGGTGACACTCGGCCTCACACCCATCACAGTGGCTCTCTGGAGAGCCATCCCATCTCTCGAGAGATCGCGGCCCCTAAGTACGTCCCAGCCCTCTGCGGCGATGAACTCGCGCGCCACTTCTCGGAATCTATGCTGAGGAAGTCAGCAGAGATGCAGACAAAGACTCTTATAAGCAGAAGGTCATTTTCATTTTATTTCAAATGGTAAAAAAATAAATTATTTTAAAAGTTTTTCCCCCTCTCAGGAATTTTGAATGGAGACTTTGGAGCCAAATGCCTATTTAAAAATAGAACAGAGTCCTGGAAATAACAGTTGTGTCTACAAATGAAATGTCTGCAGCTCCCAAATCAGCCCTTTTCCAGCCCCAGCCGCACACACCGTAAGAAATCAGCGGCAGGGTAATGCCGGAGAGTAAGGAGATGAATGAATAAAAGATGAGGCTCCTATGAGTTGAAATATTTTGCAGCCATTAAAAATGAAGTTTATGAAGAATTTGTAATGACACGGGAAAGTGCTTGTGATGTGATGTTAGATGAAAAACAAAGCAGGGTACAAAATATATGTCTATATATTGGAACCACTGCAACTTTTTCAATGTGCTTACCCACACAGAAAGGATCGGAGGAGAAAACACCCAAGCTGTAACAGTGTTTATCTCTGGCTAGTGGGATTATGGGCATTTTCTTCTTTTTTATATCTTTTATGTTCTCATAATTCTCTATAAAAATCATTAATTACTTTGGGGGGGGGGAATACATATACACACACACATACACACACACATACATACACACACACACATACATACACATATATAATCTCTCCATCCTTGCTCCCCACCCCCAAATCACGGGGGTCTCTGCATAGAAGGAACACAAACCGGATAAGAAACAGAGAGGGATACGCCAGGGCAGCCTGGGGAGGTGGAGGCAAAAAATAAAGTTGGTGCCAGACCTCCTGGAGCCTTGAATGCCAACCTCAGCAGTTTGAACTTCACCCAGAGCCCCGTCTTCTGCCCAGGTTCAAAGGAGAGTGGCCTGCCCCTTCTGGAAGGTTAGGGGGCTTCTTGGGGAGACCAGCGTGTTGTGAGTGGCTCCAGGTACCAACCTCCTGCCTTTTCCCACTCCCCCCAGGGAAGAGTTTCACACTGACCATCACCGTGTTCACCAACCCCACCCAAGTGGCCACCTACCACCGAGCCATCAAGGTGACTGTGGATGGACCCCGGGAGCCCAGACGTAAGTGCCCGAGCCACTGAGTCCCCTGGGAGGGGGAAGGAGGGTGCAAAGGGAGAAGGGCAGCAGCGAGGTCAGACAGACGGCACTGGGTTCGGGGAGCACTCCGGGGGGCGGGGATGTGGTCTCTGCTCTACACCCCCAAACCCTCTGTGCTTGGCCTGGACTTTGGGAGGCCAGTGAGGAGGCTGGGACAGGGAGATAACAGCATCAGCGGACCCGCTCCCATGGGGTGACCGCCGTTGGGAGCCTCTGGGGAGTATGGACTTGCATGGGGCTGGAGACCGGGCCGGTGTGCTCTGCTCCACCCCAGCTTCCTCCGCCAGGAGCTGAAGGAGGCCGGGTCCCCTCCTTGGAAACTCTTTCTTTGAATCTGAGTCTGTGACTTACTCAGGTCGCCCAGGGGCCGGGCATGCTGACCCCTGGGCCCAGTGTCCAGATCAGAAATGCAAATTTGATTCTGCAGATATTTATCGAGCACCTGCTGTGTGTAGGGAGCCCTGGTCCATGCATTTTAGCATCAAAGAGAGTTTGTGTTTCATTGCTTCTGCTGAAGGGCCTGGGGTTTGCAGATTCAGATTAGGGAACTGGAGGGGCAGCGGCCACGGAGTGGGCAGAGGCCTGTGTTCACTGGATGAAAGAGTGAATGAGTGAGTGAGTGAGTGAGTGAGTGAGTGAATGAATGAACGAATGAAGCAGAGAACCAGCTGGCCATCTCTGGACTGGCTGCTCCTGAGCTCTGAGCAGAGCTCTTGTCTGGACTCCCTCTCACTCGCACACGCTCACTGGTGCATTGAGAGCTACCCCGTCCTTGTCTTTCTTTGTAATTGTGGCCCCTTGCAGTTTAGACAACCCTCTCGCATTTATTGTCTCATGTGAGATCCTCGTGATATCAGAGCCAAGGGTCACCCAGTCCCAGTGAGGAGAGAATTCAGGCCTGGGGACATGGAGGTGCTGGCTGGGGCCTCGTCCAGGATCCTAGAGACAGCCTTTGATCCCAGCTCAGGAGGGAGTAAGCCTGGCAGGAGGACAAGCTCCTGGCCTCTCAGTGCCCAAGGCTCACAACGGGAGTGTGACCACCAGGGCGTGGTCAGGGAGGGCGCCCAGGCCTGGCCCCGCGCCTCCGTTCCTGGGAATCGGGCCTGGCCCCTCCGGGGAAGGCTCAGAGCTGGCCCTGGAAGAGTTCTCTCCTGCCTCTCAGGACTCCCTCCTGCGGCCTCCCCTGAGCTGTCGTACGTGGTCATCAGGCCCAAAGGCAGGCAGCTCCCAGCAGGCACTGGGTCTGGTCAGATTCCTGCTGGGATTGGACATGGATGTGTCCATGCCTGGCCTTGGGCTTCATAGCTCCAACAAGTCGTGTCTCGTTTTTGGCCTCAGTTTTGTCAGCGGTGAGCCGGGTCAGTGACTCCCCAGCATCTCCAGGTGATAAAGGCTGGCCAGCCCTGTGTGTCACAGGCCTTTGTGCAGACAGCAGAGTCTAAGCCAGTTTGCCTGGCTGGGGGACCTTGGGCAAGTTGCAGACCTCTCTGGGCATCAGCTGCCTCCTCTGGGAAGCGCGAGAATACCCCCCACCCTGCAGGCCTGGGGGTCAGTGCCCACAGGCAGCAGCAGAGGGAGGCTCCGTGTGAGTCACTGGACTGTGTTCTGTTATCTCTGGCACTGGGCCATCTCCCTGGGCTCCCATCACCACCACCATTAGGGTGGCTGCTGGAACCCCAGGCCATGGTAATAGAGGTCTAAGTTTCTGTCGAAGGAGGTGATATTCTACTCTGAGTCTCCAGGGGCAGAATCAGGATGGACAGGAGCCACCATTGGGCTCAGTGTGACTGATGCGGCACAAAGCAGTGAGCACCCAGTGTGGAGAGGCGTGTTAGCCGGGGCGTGGAGCCTGGTGGGAAGGTTCCCAGGGGCCAGGCAGCACCTGGAATCCCTCAGAGCCCTCCATGTTCACCCACCCAGCCCAAAGCTGCTCACCGGCCCCCACTGAGGCCCCTGGATGAGGGTGAAGACTTGGCCTCCCCCTGCCTGCTCGTCTCTCCTGGGGTCCCCCACACCTGAGACAGCCCCTTCTTGGAGTGAGCTGGTGGGGGAGTGGGTGGCACAGGAAGAGGCAGCGAGAAGGGAGAGCCAGGCCTGGAGATAAGCTGGAGTCAGAGGCCAGGCTTGCTGTGTGACCTGAGGCAGATGGTGCCCCTCTCTGGGCCGTGGCACAGGCCAGATCAGTGGTTTTAAAGTGACTTGTTCCAATAAAACCTTAGCAAAAGCTCATTTATAGGAAAGAGCAGCCGTGGGCCTGGGGGGAGGCAGGCACTTCTCCAGGTCTTCCATCCCGAGGACCTGCTGGCCTCCTCCCCTGGCCCAGCCCCTGCCCCTGGCCCAGCCCTCAGGTCAGGTCTCCCCAGCACCTGGGTTCCAGTCCCAGCCTGGCCTTCCGCCTGTGACCTTCTGGGCCTCAGTTTCCCCACGGCCGGTCATCCAGCCCCGCCGAGTGCCAGGCCCTGGGCAAAGCCTCGGTTAACTGATCCTTAATGGCCCCAGGAAGAGACAGGCCAGGAGGCAAAGCCACTTGCTCAAGGTGCACCCAGGGCTCCAGCCCGGGGCTCAGGGAAGGGCCTTCCCACCTTCATGTGCGCATCTGTAAAATGGGGGCAATATTAGCATCTCCTCGGGGGAGTGCTTGTGGGCATTAATCCGGCTTCCAGCTGCCCTCCTGCAGGAAGTGTTCAGGAGCCCTCATGGTTTATGTCGGGATTTTCTTTCTGGGCCTTTCTCCTGCTTTGTGCCCCCCGTGGTGGAGTGGGAGGGGAGTAGGAGCTGGTCCAGGGAGCCAAGGAGTGGAGCCTGCAGATCTCTGAGGCCGCTGTGGGTTCTGTGGCCGGGTCGTTCCCCTCCAGTGCCCTGCAGAGCGTGCCCCAGCTGCAGCCAGGTGGCCGGCTGGGCTGGAAGGCTGGCGTGGTGGCTTCCTGCCTGTGTGGCCTTGGTTTCTGAGGTTCTCGATACTGGTGTCCCTCACAGTCGCTGGGGGCTTGTTACAAGGAAGGTGGCTGAGCGGGATCCAGGATCTGGGCAGGAGGCAGGACAGCGCCTGGCGACTCTGTCGTGGACCACAGTTTGGGGACTGCGTGCTCCACGTCTTCCAGGCTTAGCAGGTGCTGGTACCTGAAAGGCTAGGACCCAGGTTCTTAAACCTGCCCGAGGCCGAGAGAGGGCAGCCCTGGCATCTTGCCTGTGGGCCCTTCCCAAAAATGTACATGGAAGGATTTCAACCAATATTTTCCTAGGCACCACCCGTGAGGAGGCACTGTTCTAGAAGCTAGGACACCTCAGTGAACCCAGCAGATGGGTCTCACACACAGGGGTGGGGAGAGATGGTAAACAGCTCTGTTATCACCATGGCAACAAGGCCCCGCCTGATCTGTGCCCATTACTCCTCTGTCTTCCTCTCGAACGCCTTCCTCCTCACTCTCCCCACGCTGGCCTCCTGGCTGGTCTTCGAAGTGGGTAGTCTCACTCCTGCCCCGGGGCCTTTGCACTGCTATTCCCTCTACCGGGAACACCCCCCGGGCACCCCCAGATTCATGGCTCACTCCTTCCCTCCCTGAAGTCTTTCTGCAAACTTTGCAGTGAGCCCTTTGCTGATCACCCTGTTTCAAATCACAGGCGCAGCAATCCCCCCAAACCCCCTTATACCTCCCGGCTTCCATTTGAGCTCGAGCACCTTCTAAGATGCTGTGTAGTCCACTCATTTCTTTCCTTGCTTTCTCATCTCCCCCACTCGTGCACACGTTCCACAGCGTGAGGGTGCTTCCTCTGCTTTGTCAGGCACTTGGTATAGACCCTGGAATACAGAAACGAATACTTCGTAGGTGCTCGATAAACACTTATGGAATAAGTGAAGTAAACGAATGATTAGCTGATTTAATTTCAGGTAACATGAAGTCCTGTGAAGAAAAGAAAGTCGGGGGTGAGCGGGCAGCGTGTGGGGATGAGACATGGCAGGGTGGGGGACGGGGCGACCTCCTGAAGAGGCGATATTTGAGCAGGGCCCGAAGGAGGTGAGCAGTCACTGTGGCGGCGGGAAAAGCTAAAGCTGCCGGTTTTGTCCTCAGCTCCAGGTGTGGGGAGGCGGAGGGATGCCCCAGATGAGAAGAGCCAACGGCTCCTGGCCCCAGCCCCCTGGACCCCCCGATCCCCAGGGGAGTGTGCCAGCAGGAGGGAAGGGGTTAACCTTAGACCTCCCTGGCTCCCTAATCAAGCCCAGGCCGCTGGAAACCCCAGTTGCAGGCCTGGGAAGGAGAAGCTTGCCTCCCTGCCCGCTGGCCCCCCGCCAGCCACCGACCGGCTTTCATCTGCTCACAGGGGGCCGATTCACGGCAGACCACCCGGGGCCCAGCACCCGCCTGCGATTCCATGCGGTTGTTAAGAGTCGGGTGTAAATCTCCTGACAGGCCGCAGAGCGGGCCTAGGGCCTGGGTGCCCCACCCCTCGGCTGGGCAGACAGTGGCTGCTGTGTCTGGGTTGTGGCCGCACCAGAGCCTGGCCAGGCGGCCGAGTGGCTTCATCCGGGTGCCCACATTGTTCCCCACAGATGACCCTGTTCCTGTGGCCCTGCCCAGCTCCTCTGCTCCCTGCCCTCTGCCTTTGCTGGCCTCCTGGCCCCCTCCGTGCCGCTGAGACAGGACACTGAGCTGGCCTCTTGCCAGTCGCACCTCAATGCCAGGCAACCCCGCTCTCCTCTCTTGGAGGTCTTGGGAGGCCACGACCTTAGCAGCCAAGTTACATGCAATGTGCTGACCTTTCTAGGTTTGACCTTGACCACGTGCCTCCACTTTCCCATCTGCAAAATGGGGTGACCGTGGCAGTCTCGCACAGCAGCACCACAGGCTTGGTGACGCTGGAGGGCCTGTCAGTGGTTAGAGCCCAGCTTCTGGAGGCTGACAGGCAGCCTGAGCCAGTCCTGGGTGCCGAGTGCTCCCTGTCCTCCCCACAGAGTGCTCTGTCCTCAGCTCCTCCTCACTCTCAGGAGTTGATCAGATGATGACCATTTTATAGGTGTGGAAACTGAGTCCCAGGAGGGAAGAGGGACTGGGAGGGATAGAGCAGGGCGTGATTGGAGCCGGCCTGTCGGCGCTGAGCTCCAGAGCAGGGCAGGGCTCCTGAGAAAGTCCACTGATAGTGTCATCTTCTCCCCAGGCCCAGCCTCCCGGGCCTGCGGAGGCCCCTCTGGCCTGAGCCTGGGCTGGGCCCTAACACCGGGTCGGGAGCCCCTGGTTTCACAGCCCAGGCTCCTTTCCTGCAGGATGGGCTCAGGAAGAGAAGGTGGGCGGTGCTTCCCGTGGGACCTGAAGCGTCACTGACCTTCTCCAGGCTGTTTCTCACCTTAAATAGGGACAGTGGTAGACCGCCGGGTGGGACGATGCCGTGTCACCTGCTCAGACACGGGCGTGGAGGAAGCACCCAGAAGCTCTTTCCGTCCACTGCTGGCCACTGCTCCCGGCCTGCAGAGGGGCTGGGGCTCCTGCCGGGAGGAGGCCTTCCTGGAGGAGCAGCTCCTGGGCTGAGCCCCAAAGGACAGGAACGCATTCCTGGCCGGGGCTGTGCCTGAGCTGTGGCTCTGAAGTGTGGAGGCAGAGAAAACTCGAGAAACCCTGGCATGGTGGCAGCAGCAGGAGGTGGTGGTAGGTGGGCCCTGGAGCAAGCAACCCTGCCTTCTCCATTCTGGGGTCCCAGTCTGGCCAGCAGCTGATCCTTGCAATCTTAAGTCAGAGACTTCCCGAGCCAGAGGGGCTCCGTGAGGCACCGCGAGAGATCCCCGCCCGCTCCCACTGTGGGCAGCCACATGAAAGAGGTTCGTTCCGCAGCCCCATCTCCTTCCCTGGGGCACAGGAAGTTCCTCCTGCTCCCAACATGAAGGCCTGGGCCCCGGGGCACTGAGACTCTCCGGCACCCTGGCCATGTGGAGCCGCCTCGGCTTCCCTCTGCCCCTCCCTGCAGCAAGGAAGCAATTCCCCACGTGCTGCTAACATCCCCTCCTCCAGCAAGTCTGTCCGATGTGAAGGCAGAACACGCATGGTGGGAACATGCGCTCGGGGGCCAGAGCACCTGGTGTCTATCCCAGACCAAGCACTGAGCATCGGTCTCGCCGTGAGGTCTCAGTGGCCCCATCTGTACAATGGGAGCAGAAAGGAAAGTGTCAGGAGAAAGAGCACTTGGAGTTCTTGGGTTCTGGACGACAGTGCTGGCTCTGCTGTCCTGGCTTTGTGTCCCAGACACAGAGACGGGACTTAGCCGGCCTTGGTGTCCTGTTCTACGTGAGGGCGACCGCCCTGCCTCCCTTGGAACGAGCGGGGGGAGAAGTTCCGGGCGCGATGGCGGGGACCCGTGTGGGTGGAGAGCGTTCACAGAACTTGCTTGGCCAGCGCCACAGCCCGGGAGGGTGTCATGATGGGGACACTGCGGCTCGGGTGGGGGAAAGGGAGTGTGACTAGTGAGGCCGCCAGGCTGCCAGCAGCAGGGCCCAGCCTCGAACCCCGGCCTCTGTGAACCCCGCCCTCCTCCTGCTGGGCCGCAGAGTCGCTGTAAACACCTGGGACACAGTGTGACTCAGAAGCGGGGCTCCACTCGCCCGTGAGGATCGTAACAAGGCCTGAGGTTTGGCACCAGCTGTTGTGTAGCCCCATGGGCTCACGCCAAGCGTGTGGCTGAGACACCCGGATCCTTTGCACCCAACTGCTGTCAGGTCAGCCTGCGGCCTCCAGGTCCACCCGCCGCTTCCTGCCTTGAGATGGTTCTGAATCCATCCGTCCCCCAGCTGTCCACTTCGCGGCTGCCATCTTCGGCGTTTCTTTCCCCCAGCGCTGAGGCCGGGCCTTTCGGGACGCCCCTGGAAACCACGTTAACCAGTTCTTGGTGGCTGAGCCTTCTCACCTAACCAGATAATGAAGTTTTGAACTTGGAGGGTACAAACTGGCAGCCCCTGGGCAGGACACATCCTACAAAGTGCTCAGTTTGGCGCTTTTTTTTGGTTCAGTATTTGCATTAATTGCCAACATATAAAATATGGGAGATTTCCTATAAAAACAGGTTTACGGTTTCAGAAGCTCTGGCAACACTGAGCCCATATCCCCCTCCTCCCCCCCCCCCCCCACACACACACCATCAGAGCACCAGTCAGCTTTACTCGATGGTGACTACCCCCCTTACAAGGCACATCCTCTCTGGTCTGCCCCCGTCCCCACCCATCCCATTTGCCTCGGTTACCTGACTTGCCAGCCCCCATAGGCATCTGCATTTGGGGCCCTGGCTCCAGCTGAGCTCACCCCCAACCCATATTGTCCCGTTGTTACCAAGGGTCCTAGGAGGCAGCAGCGGGGCCCTGCCTGGAGGCCGAGTGGTTTCATTCCAGCTGTCGAGTGTCCCCTGGGCTCCAGGCCTGGGGCCTCCCAGGAGGAGGAGGAAGTGGGTTCCCTGGCTCTTGGCGTCTTGCTGAGCCCAGCGTGGCTCCCAGGACTCCTGCTCCATTTCTGCGGGGGCTCAGAGGCCCATGTGAGCATGCGACAGGGGTGTGTAGAGAGCACAGGGTCTGGGGTCCCAGAACCCATTGCATCCCCATTTTGAAAACCAGCAGTGAGGCCCCTTGCTAGGCCTCTGACTCTCTCCCCTCATTCTCAATGGTGGTCGGCACTTTCCCCCAAAGATGCCATTTTCCAGGCCTCAGGAAGGACGGTGAGGATTCAGTTTTAACTCCCACCTACTTCTCTCTTCTTCTCTCCCTGTCAGTCTAGGAAGTTCCACGCATCACTGCAGCCCTAAGAACTCAGGCAGGCCTTGCCCTCTCCCTGGGCTCCTCCCCGCATTCTTTTCCAAGGGATCCAGGGACTCCGTCCCCCTTCCTCACTCTGTGACCTCCGTGAGCCACAGTTTCTCTGGCCTGTGAAAGGAGAAAGGGCCCCTGGCCTGCCTGGCCCCTCCCGCGGCGTCGCTGGAGCAGATGGCCAGCCTCCTGTCGGGCTGAGCAGCAGAGCCCAGGAAAGCTCAGCCCTCTGCCTGGACAAACCCCCAACACACGGTGTGAACAGGGTCGTGCCTGGGAGTATCGCACGTGCGGGGGTCATGCAGGACATTTGGAAACTACCCGAGTGTCCACCTGAGAAGATTGGCCGAGTAAACTCAGTGCCCAGTGAATGTGAGCAGCGGCCGCGAGGGACGCCCACTGGCATAGCGGGCAGTCCTCCTCGGCCTCCTTGTGGGAACTCTGTTGTTGTCTTGGGGCTGGCTTATCCTCCCCATTTTACAGGTCAGAAAACTGAGGCGGCGCTCCAGGGTGCGCTACTAGAAAGGCAAATTACGAATGGCACGGCCAGGCTGAGCCCATTCAGGAAAGTTCCACGAGAAACTTGCTCTGTGTTTCCAGGCGTGTGAAACGGAGGCTGGAAGGGAAGACCCCACACGGGGACTTCTGGGGAGTGGCTTAGGGGGGCTCCCAGGAGCCATGGCCCTGTCTGCAATGCTTTTATTTTTGTAGATGTTCTTGTGCTGCTTGTGAAGTGTAAAGTGAGTCATTGAAGAGTGGTGTGTGTGTGTGTGTGTGTGTGTGTGTGTGTGGTCATGTGGTCCCTGTAAGCTCCATGTCTTCTGAGGACCCTGAGGGAGGCTCTGCTGGCTGCACGAAGCAGGGGCATGGCCACCTTGAGCCTGCAGCACCCTGGGGCCTGGGAGCAGGGCTGGGCTCCTCCTGTGCGGGCCATGGAAGAAGGTGCCGGGAAATGCTGGCACTTCCTCCGGGTGCAGTGCCCAGGCCAGGTGCTCTGGTCCCTGTCCCCACCTTCCCATCAGAAGCACCCATGGCCTTTGCTCCGTGTCCTGGCGATCGTGTCCTTCTGTCTGAGGCCTGTGGGTCCCAAGTGACTCGGGGCGGGAGGGAGTGACAGTCTCATCCCAGGGCCGCCTCCCGGGGGTGGGGTGGGGCCTGGGACGCTGGGAGGCAGAAGGTGGCAGCTCTCCTGGTTCTCTTCCTGATCCCCACGGGAGCCTGCTGGAGTCCCTTGCCCATGCCTGTGGCCTCAGTTTCCCCTCCTGCCAGACAGTGTGCTGTGGAGGGTCAGGTGTGAGAATGGGTAGCCCTGCTCACGAGGGCAGGAAGGCCCTTGTGGCCGCCCCGGGGCCGTACCTAGGGCCGTTTTCTGCAGAAAGTCTGGAGAACCCGAGGAGGAGGTTGCTGTGACTGAGGTCTCGTGCAGGAGCCCGAGCTTAGACCTCGGGGAGAACATCCGGCGGAGGAGGCATTTCTGTCTCCCGAGACTCTCGGGGACCAGCTGCTGACGGGCTCCCCTTGCTCTGCAGGGCACCGGCAGAAGCTGGAGGACCAGACCAAGGCGTTCCCCGACCGCTTCGGCGACTGGACCGGGTGCGCATGCGGGTGACCCCGAGCATGCCCAGCCCCCGCGGCTCGCTCAGCACCACAAGCCACTTCAACAGCCAGGCCCAGACCCCCATCCAAGGTATGGCACGGGCGGGGGGAGGGGGCCGGGACCTGGACGTGGTCCTGGGGCTCCAGGCCAAAGCCCGTCCGGAGGCCGTTCCCTGCCCGTGTGGTGCTCCGGCCGGGCCTGGCCGAGGCCCTGCGTGCATTCGCACAGCCCACATTCATCGACTCCCACCGCGTGCCACGCCGGTGCCTGGCCCCAGGATCAGCTCGGTGTCCCTGGGGAGATGGGGTTACTCTCCTAGTGCACCCTTTAACTGGGGTATGACTTGTCCAAGGAGCCTGTGGCAGACGTGTCCCTGCTGGAGGCACCTCCCTCCAAGCTCAGCTTTCTCACTGGAGAGTGGGGTGCCTCTGCCCAAGGCTGGGGTGACGTTCAAGTGCTGTTACTGCCCTCAAAGTTTGTGAACGGTAAAGGACGTTGCAGCCCTGGAGAAATACACAGCATCTCCTGGGAAAGGTCCCGTGGCCCAGGGACCCTACCAAACAGAAAGGAGGAGAAAGGCCTCTGGGCCGAGGCCCCTAAGGGGTCTCTATCCCCACTGCCTGGTGGGTGCAGCAGGCACCCTCAGAGCTAGATCTCAGGCAGGACTTCCGAGCAGACAGATGCACGGAGCAGGTGCTCAGTAAATGCCTGGATGATGCATAGTCGCTCTTCTCCAGGCTGTCAGCCAGTGTGCACAGCCGCACGCAGCGGCGGTACTGAACGGAGGCAGGAGGCTGGCCGTCGCCATGCACCGAGGGTGTCGTTCTTTCTCGGTCCTCCAGGGCCCGGTTAGAACCCACTTGGCCAATCGGATATGGTGGCAGACTTGACGTAGCCCCGTAGTATAAAGAGAAGGCCCTCCCGTCTGGCCTGAGAAGCGGGGCCTTGGTGAGGTGGGGAGGGGCCCCAGGTCCAGCCGCTCGGAGCCTCTGGGCTAGCGAGTTTGAGATACAGCAGCTCTGGGGCGGGAAGGAAGGGCGGGGTGTGGCGCTGCAGGGCGGAGGCCTGACCTCAAGAGGCAGTGGGAGGTGCTCTGCCCTCGGGCTCATGCCCACCCCTGCCCGGAAGCTGTCTGTCGGGGTGCAGTAGCCTAACACTCCAGGCCTTACCCTGCCAGGGGCAGAGCTGGGGCCCAGTGGGGTGTTGGGGCCCAGCCAGGGAGCCCCGGAATCCAGCAGGTGGGGGTGAACAGAGCCTTCCTGTCCAGCAGCTCCCACAGTTGTGTGGACCTGGCTGGGGAATCGGTGCCTTAGGCTCCCCACCCTCTGTCCAGCCCCAAAGGGCCGGGTCTAGCCAGGCAGCAGGTAGAGCTCCTGCCTCCACGCTGAGGCTGGGAGGAGAGGTGGGGCCTGTGTGGATGCAGCTGACCCAGTCCTTCCTCTTCTGCTGCACCCTAGGCAGGGCTCCCCCGCCCCTCCCTGACCACCCACAGCACTGGGCTCAGGCCGCCTATGTGGCCCTTCAACCCAGCCGGGCCACCCCCTCCCAGGCCTGGCCCCTTTGGCGTGAGCGGAAGGGCTCTTGACAACCAGGACAGGGAAGGAGTGTGAACTTTGCAATCAGATGGGCCGGGCTTGGGACCCTGCCTCTGCCAGGCACTGGCTGTGTGTTCCTAGGCTAGTCACTTCACCTCTCTGAGCTCAGCTTTCTCACCTGCAAAATGGGAAGAAGGAGGTACCTGACTCGGAGGCGTGTTGGCAGGGCTGGGTTTCGGGCCCTCTCACCGGCCCTCCCCTTCTGGTGGGGCCAGCCTCTGCCTTCAGACTCCATCCTGGGGATCCCCTCAGGACACCCCACCACCACTTCTCTTGGTGCCTGTTAATAGCTTTGACCCCGGCTTTGGTCACTGGCAAGCAGTGCCGAGGCCCCATCCCCTCCATACTCCAGCCCCAGGCCCCCCCAGCTGTGGCCGCCCACAATGGGGGCTTCTAACAGCTCAAAGGGCTCATTCAGCCACCACGCAGCAGCTGGGGCAATTTGGAGAAGAAAATAAACATTTCCTTCCAGTGTTGGGATTGGCTCCCCAACAACCACCCAGCTCCGGTTTCCTGGGGCTCCTGGGCTGGGAGGGGTGGGGGGCCAGGAGCCTCAGGGGTCCTAAGGGCAGACACTTCCCCCACCACCGGGGGGGGGGG